GGGGGGGGGGGGGGGCACTTTGCCTCAGGTGTAGGAGTTCAAGCATCTGGGTGTCTTGTTCACAAGGGATGGTAGGACGGAGCGGGAGATGGATCGACAGATTGGGGCCTCATCCTCAGTAATGAGGGTGTTGCTTTGGGCTGTCATGGTGAAAAGAGAGCTGAGTCGAACGGCAAACCTCTTGATTTACTGATCTGTCTACAGACGACCACCTATGGTCACGAGGTTTGGATCATGACCAAAACATGATCCTGGATACAAGCGGCCAAAATTAGCTTCTTTTTTTTTCCAGGTTCGATTCACAGAGCTCAGCTTTAGATGGTGAGGAGCTCCGACATCCGGAGGGAGCTCGGAGTAGAGCCGCTGCTCCTCCGCACTGAAGGGAGTCAGTTGAGGTGGTTCAGGCATCTGATGAGGATGCCTCCTGGCCGTCTGCCTTTAGGGAGGGAAGAGAAGTCTGAGGTTATAATGTTCCCATCCAATGGCGAAATTAGTTCTCTGCATTTAACCCGTCACACGTGAGGTACACCCAGGTGGAGCAGTGGGCAGCTATGAAAGAGGTTTTCTGGGCACGTCCTACAGGTGGGAGGTCTCAAGGAAGACTCAGAAGTCACTGGAGGGATTGTGTATTGTCTCTGGTCTGGGAATACCTCGGGATCTCCTGGAACAAGCTGGAAAGTGTCGCTGGGGAGAGGGGTGTCTGAGTTTATCTCCTGGACCCGTTGTCTCCACGACAAGACTGCTGATAAGTTGTAGAATATGAAGATTACACGCCTGCAGCGCAGGGAAAATCATCAAACATAGAAGTCTCAAAAAGGCATTTTAAAGTAGGCTACACAGAAACTCTGGTACTCAAGCCCCCTGTCATGCAAGTGTTTGTTCACTGTTAGAATTTGTTTATTGTGCTTCAGTGGCAGTCTGTGAACATCTTAGATCAAAAACAATCCATTGCTTTTAAAACTGGCAGTGTCCTGCCCGCGGGACAAATATATTTTTTCCGAGTTCACAGCCTCATAGCGTCTCAAAAACCCCACTCTCCACCATTACAGTGTTTTTATATGGCAGCCTAGACCCTCACATTTTGATTGACACCGCATTCGGCCAGTCGTGTCATGACATGGGTTTTCCTGAGCCAATAATATCCAGAGAGCGTCACGTGGCTAATTTGCACACCCCTCTAATCTTTCTTGAATATTTCTGACTGGTCAACGCTGACACTGAATCTAAAACCATAGATGTGCAGCCAACAAAACTTCTGACACGGGAATATTTGGCACCTTGGGGTTTGTTTTGACAGGAATCCACGAGCTCCCAGCGTATTCAGTGTTTCATCGGTGCGTCAAACTCAGCAGCAAGCCAGAGTCTCTGCGCCCTCAAGCGTAACTGTTTCCAGTACTTTTTCTCACCAACGGATTGTCATAACGTGTCAAAACGGGATATACTTCTTCAACGGAGCTTCAAAATGACTCACAAAAGTGGATTATTATACTTCAGAGGACTTTGTGACTGGTTTTATGGCTGCAGAATCCAACAAACAAACATCTGTTACTCAGGAGGCGATTACAGTACGTGTAATGTTTCATTCTCAGCCTGTCTTCATATTATATGCAGTTTAGATGGAAATATGTATGCTATAGTGCGCTTGAGACGTGATTGTATGTGTGTGCCTGCACGTATACAATGCCTTTACATACGGAAATTTGCAAGAGCTGTGATTGGGGACAGTTGTGTAATTACTATTTTATTGTGTTTGTATGTATATAATTATAATTAATTCACAGTATCAGTAAATCTGTGTAGTCCAGAGGATTCCTCTGGTTATTATCTTTCACTAGAGCCCTCGTTGATGAGTGTATGTTGAAGCATTGAGGAGTTACAGTCATTTTGAAGTTTTTATAATCAGGCGTTGTCCAGATGTGCCATTTGGAGTCTCCAAAATGGCACATCTGGACAACGCCTGTACGTCTACTCACATAAACATGACTAAAAAAAGTCTTCTTTTTTCTTTTGCACTATTTTGATAAACTTTGAAATACACAACAAAACGACTTCATTTTAGTTGTATTGTATTTTCCAGTCCTTAACATTCAACGTTCAATGTGTATTTATATATAGAGAGAAATAAACATGAACAATTCTGGTGAAGAAAAAAATGTTCTAAATTTTTTGTGTTACAAAGTTAATAGTTACACACTAATCAGTTAAAACATTTTTGACTGGAAAAATAAAAAAAATTAGCTTGACATCTTCATAAAGAGACCAAGCTTTTGCATGTACTCCAAAGGGTTCAAGAACAGCAGCTGATTTAATTTATACATTTTTAGGCGCTTTTGGAAATGGCTAGCTAAGAGGTGTTTTAAACGGACGCCGTGCTAAACATTTATTAGAGATCTGAGAGGGTTCTGGTGATGCAAAGCTTCTACAAATGAACAACTAATTCTATTGGACCTGGGGCAGCTTTCCACTGAGCAAAGTGCTGAAGTGGAAGAAAACAAGGAGACGCAGGAGTGAGGAGCTGTCCGTTTCAGCGTGGTGCTGAACTGAGGACTCCGAGAGAAGTCTTAAACAAACAACAGCAGCTTCATCACTGAAGATTAGACAGCGGTAACATGAGGCCGACACGCAGGGAAGCAGAGGGAGCTGCAGGATTTTACAGCAGAGCTCGACAAAGACAAACAGCTTGTGTTCACCGCCTGAAACTGAGCTCATATGCAGTGTCCTCTATCTGAGCGTCCCTCTAACGCACACACGGGCCTGGACTGCTGGTCTGACATTTATACCTTTGATTAAGCTTGGGTGTTTGAAGGTTTGTAGCAGAGGTCGCAAAATATGCATTTTCTCATAGAACAACATAAAAATCCTTTTTTTTTTTTTAACAACATTTTCTGTTCAGGGTCAGTGGGAGCTGCAGCCACTGTGAGGGAGGCAGGGGACACGCTGGTCCATCACAGGGACACAGAGACAAACAACCGCTCACACTGAGGAGAAACTAAGCAAATCCTCCCAAAACACGATTGTGTCTTGTGTTGCGCTGCATCAATTCAAAGTGACCTACGATGAATCCTGCAGGTTCCTTCAAAAAAACACATCCTTTTCCGAAATGTTCTTTAACATTCTTGCTTTGTTTTCTCTTGTTTGCTCATATTAGCATTTAGCTTTTAGCTACTGCTTAGATAATTAAACTTTTGTTTAGCAATATTTTTGTTCATTTTAGCTTTTAGCTAGTTTTGATGATTTTAGTTACCCTTTTGTTAAGCTTAGATACTGTTTTGCTAAATTTAGCTTTTAGCTACTGTGCTTCTTCTACCTTTTGCTTTTAGCAACATGTAGCTTTTGTCTACATTGCTCGTTTTTAGTTACCAACTTACTATTTTTCACTTTTAGCAAAAAATTGGCTCATTTGAGCTTTTAGTTACAGTTTTGATGATTTTAGTTACCCTTTTGTTAATCTTTGAGTTGATATACTGTTTTGCTAAGATTAGCTTTTAGCTACTGTGCTTCTGCCATTTGCTTTTAGCAACATGTAGCTTTTGTCTACATTGCTCGTTTTTAGTTACCAACTTACTATTTTTTACTTTTAGCAAAAAATTGGCTCATTTTAGCGTTTAGTCAGTTTTGTGGATTTTATCAGCTACTTTTGTTGATTTTAGCTTTTACTTATTGCTCAATTTAGACTTTAGCTATTGTTTTGCTGATTTTAGCTTCTGTTTTAACTTGGATCAGTTCATTGCAGTCATTCCACAAGCATTTAAGCAGAAAGTGTTTTTTTTTTTTTTCTGGTCAACTCATCTTTACAGTCCTCAGCTTCCATCGAAGCAGTAATGTGTTTAGAGGGAGGGGGTTCCGTTACATCATGACCCCCTCTCCCCCAGCCCGTCCAACATCAACACAACAGTTCTGGACCCTGAGGCCTGGCTCCGGTCTGTGGAGCCCAGCAGCTTGTTGTTGTTGTTGTTGTTACCTGATGGCCAGCAGCTCGTGCAGCAGGTAAGCAGCAGCAGCCAGCAGAGCTCCTCCGGTCACATACAGCGTCTTCCTCCACCACGAATCCGAGCCCAGCGCGGACATCATCCCGCCGTAGTCCTGCAGACGGGAGGCGATGATGGACCCATAAAACTGCTCGTCCGAGCCCGGCAGGCCGGAGAAGGTCTGGTTCTGCCGGCCCAGATCAACCGCGCAAGAGCCCGTCCAGGAGAACCCGACGCGCCAGTACAACATGCTCAGCGACTCCGGCCGCTTTCCGCCTCGCTTGGGCAGGTCGGGCCTTCATCAGCGGGGGCTTCATGGGTCCCGGGGGAGGCAGGAGGGGGGCGACTGGACTGGGACCAGCCGGGTGGACCCGAGCATCCCGTCCGAGACGTTACCCCGGGGCGGGGAAGACTTCCTCCGAAGCTCGTTCCGAGCTCGCGCTGATGTGACCCTTCGCCCGTTCCCGTGGAGTCAAGGAGCAATGATTTCCGGTTTGTTGTTTCAAAACAAAAGTGGCTTTAAAAAAAAAAAAAATGCGTAGAAGTCAGCTCCTTGGTGCATCTGTAATTAAATAAATGAATGAATGAATAACCCATTGGTAAACACAAAAGTTACACTGTGCATGTTTTACTTTTATTTTTTACTTTATAATACAGTTAAAATCCTAATATCAATAGAATTGATCATACAATAGCTTTATTTCAGCTACTTTAGTCATAAAACTATTAAAATATATTGTTCTTAAGGCCCTAAACATTTCAGAATCACATAAAAATGCACTATTTTTTAATATATATTTTTATATCAGGAATAGGAAACTATCAACATTTCAAAAATTTACATTCTAGATTTTATTTTCAAATATTCATGCATTATATATCAGTCAGAGTCAGAGTTTCTTTGTCGTTTGCACCACATGGGGTACATGTGGTGGAACGAAATTATGCGCACACACACACACACACACACACACACACACACACACACACACACAC